ATATATATATATATATATATATATATATATATATATATATAGATATACATATATATATATATATATATATATATATATATATATATATATATATATATATATATATATATATATATATATATATATATATATATATATATATATGTATATATATATATATATATATATATATATATATATATATATATATATATATATATATATATATATATATATATGTATACATATATATACATATATATATATATATATATATATATATATATATATATATATATATATATATATATATATATATATATATATATATTGGCAACTGACCAAAACCAGTTAGTTAATTTAATTATCATACTGCTTTGGTCTCATTATCGATAGTAATAAAGTAATACAGGTAATATCCAATATATGTTTGTGAGAAAATTTGCCAGGAGATTTCCGTGGGTGGGTGTTTCTTCGCGGGTTTCCCAAGATTCTACCTCTACCATGTATCGTGTGCTGAAATATGGTGTTAAGTCTAAACACAATTCTAAATTCAATTACTATCTAACGCAGCAACGAAACTGTTTTACGAATTCATTGTTCATTGTCCGGTACAAAGATACCCAAGTACATATAGCTGACATAATAGAGCATTTAGTCACTTCAAGGTCACTCATGTGCGATGTATACAAGTAGAGATATACACCTTGATATAGACTTACCTAGTCCACGATGACAGATGACATAAGCTACGAAGTGAAATAGAAGTTGGTTCATCATCGTTGTTCACGATTTAGCTGTCTGTGCAGTTTCACTTTATCCTTCATGAATTGAACTTAAATGTCATGATAATGATGACCATCTGTACGTGTGCACATCAGCTTTGAGGGAAGTAAAAATATACCCCTTGCTGTTAAGTGTTTTATTGGTGATGTTAAGTGTACTATTTGGCTCACTGCCGTGTAACTATATATCTGTTCAGTTTACTTGTCATTTTGTGTTGGCGTATTTCAATCAGGAAGTTTATATACAAATATATTTTCTTAAAGGTGAATGTTTTGTATTTGGTTCGAGAACCCTTCTTGTCCATATATTCCGCTATCCATATACATATTTCCAATATATATATATATATATATATATATATATATATATATATATATATATATATATAGAGAGAGAGAGAGAGAGAGAGAGAGAGAGAGAGAGAGAGAGAGAGAGAGAGAGAGAGAGAGAGAGTACAAATTATATGGCAAATAACTACTCTTTCTAGCGCACTGGATCCAGCATGGGATAAATTGTATCAGGGATTGATTAAGATTGATTAAGTTTATTGCATATATATATATATATATATATATATATATATATATATATATATATATATATATATATATATATATATATATATATATATATATATATATATATATATATATACATACATATATATATATATATATATATATATATATATATATATATATATATATATATATATATATATATATATATATATGAGAGATTTAAACAGTGTATATAATAAATAATAATCGCATTGATGATCATAAACCTTGCGAATTGAACAGATGTTTTATAAAAATTAAGTCCCTCTATCAAGTCATAAGTTTAGTAGAAAAATGTATACAAATATGCATATATAGAAACATAAACTACCCTTATAACCACCTACCTTTTTACCGACCTTATTACGTACCTGATAAGCACTCATGGTACATATTACCATGCATATATACATTCATATGTCAATTTATACATACATAGCAATGGCATATTAAGAAATAGAGATATGTGGGATGGGGGCTTAAAAATGTAGTTAGGTACTGAAAGTCTCCTCTATTCGTGTGGCAAGTGCAGGAAGTCTCCTGTAATGTTATACACCTAACTGTACAGTAAAGGTACCATGGCAAATATTCAGGTTGTTTCACATTCAAATTTTGTTTGCGGGTAGACAGCGACTCCTTATCCATCCTATCACCAGAATAATCTATCCATGCATATTTCAAGATCGCTCCGGTGGCCTAGTGGTTAGAATGCTTGCCTCGGATGTTCAAATTCCAGGCGAATCAGGCCAAAGAGTTATAAGAATGGTACTAGCAGCTGCCTCGCTAGGCGCTCAGCATTAATAGGTTAGTGTTAGGACTGATTGTCCTGGTGTGAGAATATCACAATAAACTGACGCACTGCAGACATCGTAGCGATATGACTGAAAAAGTGTTGTTGTTGTGGGGTTTAACGCCATTTTTCAGCACAGGAAAGGCTATACATGGCGGCCAGTATTAAAAAAAAAAGTGTTAAAACCACGTCAAAAATCAATTTCACACACACACACACACACGCACATGCATATATCACGCATGTATGTATGAATGTATGTATGAATAATGCAATTTTTTAATTTAATATGATTGTAGTTTTCCATTTATTCATAAATCCACACAGATGTTTTAAAGTGTATCTGCTTTGACTATTTCCTGGTTCTTCCTCCACCAGATACATT